GGGCATCTATGGTCAAAAATGTAAACTAAATATGTATTTCTATATTGAATTTCAATAGGTTCTATATCACTCCTAATAACCATATCCATATAGAAGTTTGTAAACTTACTTACTGAAGATGCCCATAGGATGTACTTCCTCGATGCATTGGCACGATTTCAGCCCTCACAGAGCCTGCCTTCTGAACTACAAGTCAATGTCTGAAAAATATAACATTATCATTGCTCGCTGGGAGCAATGCATTATTGGCTATGTAGTCTTGAGAAATGTAGATTGTAGCGCATCAAGCAGCAGGGAAAGAGGTGCAAAGCACACTGGGAGTCCAGGAAGTTGATGAAAGTGATGGGCAGACGGAAAGCATCACTCACTACATAAAAGGGATTTTTTCACGTGAGCTTAGATTGCATTATCAAAGACAAATATAATATGTATTCCTATTACAATGCTGATGTTATAACATGATAGTATATGCTGGGAATTTACAACTCCTTTAATGTCAGTACTACTTACTTTGATTCAGTGCCACCTCTGCTTCTCCGGGTTTTACCCAGAGTATCGTGGCCGAGTCAAATCAGTCATGGTGGTACTCTCCTATCCCTGTAAGGCGGTAGCCTATTAGAGTGGCATCCTTCACTTGCTTAATCTATTTAAATTCCTAGCAGCTCCCCAGCTTGCTGCCCGAGCAACTTTTTTATACAAACTAGCTGCTGAGCCACTGGTATGCCTCCCCGTTACCCAGCCTGGATCCTCCATTGAATCCTATGAACTGACTTTTATCTAGTTTCTGATTATCTTTCACTAATTCCATGTTATTTCTGTCTTGTTACAGGTTATCAGTGTCTGCTGCCTGCCCTGACCTCTGGCCAGTTCCTAGTTATCATTGTCTGCTGCCTGCCTTGACCTCTTGCATATTCCTGGTTATCCATGTCTGCAGCCTGTTCTGAACCCTGGCTTGTTCTGGACCTTTCGTGCCCACAGCCAGCACTGTGGATTGTTCATGGTGACCTCTGACTCATAGTCTCTGGTGCTTCAGTAGGCTGAACCCAGGGGTCACAATACAGCTAAGCACTGTAAGTGCTTGGGCAATAATGTAAGGGAATACTTTGCTGGTCAATGTATATTTCTATTACCTGGATTCATTATTGAAAACAGTTGGGGAGTTTAATTCTAATTTAAATTGTTGATCAGCTGTATACCTTTCAGAATGGAAACATTAGCAATTATATTCAGTGCTAAAAAACTGCTCTTGTACCAAAGGAGTTAAAGAGCCTGGGCACTGACTGAACAAAACAAATCACAGTTTTTCTTTAAATAGCCTCTTCTCTGGAGATTTTCAAAATCTGCCCCAAAACGATCTTGTTGAGTCTAGCCTACGGCGATAGCTAATGTCACACCTCCACTATACCGGAAAAATAAACTTGCAAATTGGGATTCAAATCTAATGGGACAATACAACTACACAAATCTTACGGGATCACGCTATATTTTATAATCTTACTCGAATATATCCTGTACAACTGCTTTACAAGATTCGCAGGGCTTGAGCTGCTAGAAAGGGACTGCAGAATGGAAGCTGATTTGCGTTTGTTTTTAGCTTTGCAGTCCATTTTGCATCTTTCCTGTTATACACTTCTTTGTTTGGTAGCAGAGAGATGTGCTGTAAGCAAGTCCATACACATTATCCTGGTTCTTACTTTGGACTTGTTTAGGTAGTCAGTGAGATGTGCCCTTTGGCAAGGGCAAAATACATTGGCAGTAATAATATAAGCAATACGGCTTTGAAATCATTCTAAAGATTAGTGGGAGAAGCACTAGATTTGTCAATTCTCTTCTTTGAAGTGTCAAATGTTCTTGGAGGGCTCCTACCACACAAAACAAGGGACCCCAATCAGAATAGGAGGTCTCAAGTGGAACCACATATGGAAATGTTGTATATATATGTTTAAGGCTAACTTGTTAGCCTGTATTTGTGGGAGGAGTCTGCACCTCCTCAGCCCTCTTAAGCCGCCCGCACAGGCTTCCGGGTACGCAAGGAATCCGGAAGCGCGACCCTCCTTCCAATCCCTCGGTTTCTTACCACATACTCAGGGTATGCCTCCTTATTGGCGTACTGTCAACCTTGACCATGGCACAATTCAGGTCTGTATGTTTTGCATATTTTGTCTATTTTGTTTCGGTACATAGGAAGAGAACACTTACGGTCTTCAGCAGGTCCGTGCCAGGCATGCGCTTCCAGATCCAGGTAAGCTGATTACAAATATATATATATATATATTATACACTTCAACTGCGAGTGCAAAACATTCGAAAGGAACTCAGTTACCAAAGTAACCCATAAGCTCTGATGAAGAGGGATATTGTGAATCCCTGAAATGCATTGGCTATTTTATTTTATTGATCCTTATACAGTAAATAAAGTGGCGTCGTAGTTACCACTCTCGCTCAGGACATTATCTGCAAGGAGTTTTCATGTTCTCCCTGTGCTTGCATGAGTTTCCTCTGGGTACTCCAGTTTCCTCCCACACTCCAAAGACATGCTGGTAGGTTAATTGGCTCCTGTCTAAAATTGGCCCTATATGTATGCATGTGAGATAGGGATGTTAACCACTTCAAGACCAGGTGTTTAGACCCCCTTCCTGGCCAGGCCATTTTTCAGTATTCAGCGCTGCGGTACTTTGACTGACGTTTATTCCGTCATGCAGCGCTGTACTGAAATGAATTTTATACCATTTTTTGGGGACAGATAGAGCTTTATTTCGGTGGTATTTAATCACCACTGGGGTTTTTATTTTTTACTATAATTTAAATTGTAGGCTTCTTGAGGGCAGGGACTGATATGAATGTTCACCTAAAGTACTGTGTAAAACTGTCAGTGCTATATAAATTCCTGTAATAAATAAACACAATACCATATTGGACTGTACTATCAGCAGTGTCACCCTTTTTGTTCTATATTTGAAATAATTCAAGGCAGACATGTGGGCAATGACATCCAAGTATCAGATTGATACTTTTATTCTATAGTTGTATTTTATCTTATGCAAGGCTACACTACAGAAATATGAGAATTTAAAAATAGGCCGCAAATTGATTGTCAGATAGTGTCCCAACAATAAGAACTTCCCCCCATGCAATATGGTTTCTGCCACTGGACACTACATCATTGCTGTAGTCTGCAGTGACTCATTGGCCTGAGGAAGGAACCACAACACGTTGCAGTGGCATTCTATTTGACACCCTTTGGAAGTGTCAGATAGCAGCAGTGCCGGTATCTCTCAAAGAAAATAATGGTTTACCTTACCA